ATGTCTTTATAGCCCATAAGTACGGCTTCCGCACGCGAATGATTCACGTAGGTCTGCCTTGCCGTTTTTGACCTGTGGTCGTAGTCGAATTTGAGATTCATGGAATTGAGAAGACTTTGTTTTTATTCACAATACTTGCAAAAATTGTGAATTCGTTCACCGAAATGGTATCACCCATAAACTCTTTCAGTTTCCATCACGATAAAATTCTAAATTTTATTAGTGCTATTCTCCCTCATTGCACAATATTGCTGTGTGGATTTTGAGCCTGGAAACCACGGCTACTGTCCCATTGTTCACTCGCCCAATTACTCGTATCGATTTTATCAATTGTGATTCCCGCAACGGGACGGGGACGGCGGAGTGGCCGGCGATAACGGTAGCTCGGGGTCGTCAGTGTGCCGTGCGCTAACGTCATAAATCTGACGTTATAAAACATCCGAGTCGTAATTTAATGACGTTAGCCCGAGATGAAGACTGAACAAGATTCTAACTGCTCTCGATCCGCGGGCCGGCGCTATGCGCTCTCCAGTGGCGTGGCGTGAATTGCGATGTATCGATTGTTATGCCATTTAAACCTATGATGAAGAATCGATTATTGAGGTGTTCGCTGCGAGCACCCTGTTTATCGATCCTTTTCCACAGGTTTAAATGGCGTAACAATCGATGCATCGCAATTCGAGCCACGCCACTGGCGCTCTCGTGTTAAATGCACCCGTAGCTAACGCTGCTTGTGCTGTGTGCACTCTAGTGCGAGCGCACGAGTGTGTTAGTGAAACAAAGCGACCCGGCTCAAAGTAACCTCTCGACCGTGTTCCTTGCAGCTCTCGCGCATTCGTTGAGATGTGCCCATGCATGGCCCGTGGCTCTCACTTAGAAGCCCTGTTATGTGCAACTCGAGGGTGGTGGAAAGCCAGCTTAAACCCCTGTTTCGAGTCAATTCTAGCTGCTCATCTTAAGCTAATTTCTCGAAGCCTCATTGGCGCAGCTCCGGTAGTGTGGACCAGCGGGCGGAATTTTGAAATTGATAGACAAAGCTATAGACAAAGGAGACATACTGATTTTGAGTATGGAGCGATCCTATTGGTTAATGTGGGTGGTTTTTATAGAGTAAGAGGGTAAATGATGGACTCGTGAAGGACCTCTCGTGGGTCGCCGTTAGTTAGTCTATTATCTACCTTCTTTGACCATTGCAACCACCTACTTCCACCAATATAGGATCCCTCCATATCCTTTTTTTCGTCTTTATCTGTAGCTTTGTCGATCAATTTCAACAATCAGTCAGCTGCATGCCCCTAGAATTTGATGCAGTTCGATCTGCTCTTTGAGGGGTCCTGACGCAAGCTTTAAGTAGATTTTCAAATTTCAAAGATTATGACTTTTAGAGGGTAACTTCGGAGGCTCCACAGAAAAAAAGCGTTCGGGTTATCCCCCAAAATTGTGATGATACTATCCCAATTTGTTGGATGATACGGGCATTTTCAATCAATTTTCAATCGCCGACAATGGGCCTGTTGCAAACTTTAGCTAGGGCATAAAGAAGTGTAGATTCTTATAGAAAATGTCTCAAAACTTACGATCAGCGCATTGGAAAAGTCTGAAATACACTCCCAACTTTACAATTTGCGTGAGAAATACACGTCTAAGCTTCCCGCTTCAAAACGATACCACGGTGCCGGTAAAAATTTTATAAGAGGAGTCGTAACAGCCAACCCCTATACACTCTAAAAGACTCTTCTTTTTGCTTTAGCTGAAGTTCGCAACAGGCCCACTCAGCCAGGTCGGGTCGAGCCGACCACACCACAAAGTTCGACGAAACCGGTTGCAGGCGGCGGCGACGGTTCCGAACGGCAACAAAGCCGCCTCCTCGAATCACCGTCCGGGGAAAAGTGCTTTCGGGGGGAACCGATAATTTTTGCCCGTTCACGTCCATCTGTGATTGTGAGTGTCTCCGCACTGTCATTTGCGTGATGGACCGGGGCCGGGGCTCGGGGCCCATTAGCTATAATGCAGCGCGGCGTTTAGCCCTCCAATTTTGAGGTTAGGACGACAACCAACTTCCTGTCTTCGGCGACGCCCCCCGCAACCACTCCGAGGGTATTCAAATGGCAGCGTCCCTTCTTCTCCAACTTCCTCCACCTTCCTCCACCTTCCTCCACCTTCCTCCACTTCCTCCACCTTCCTCCACTTCCTCCACCTCCTCCACCTCCTTCCATCGACCCATGACCGGGGTTCTCGAGGCTGTTGGTTAAACGCTCGCCGAGAGATTACACGCCAGAGCAGCCGACCCGCACCGCGTACCCTCTCTATTTTTTCAAATTAAATCTTTCTAAAATCTCGGAGCAATCGGATCCGCTTCGTAATCTAAATTAGTTGATGGAAGCTCTGCTCGCCGCGCCGCGCCGGCTGCCCCCTCAAATTATTCGATTTCGGTTCACTTGTGTTTCACTTTCCTCCCCCCGCCCCCCCTCACCGGCCGGAAAATGGAAATGGATCGTCATCTTTGTCGCTGGTTTCGGCTATGCGACGTTGCCGGTTTTGATGTTGTTCTCGTGCGTGTCGCTGATGAAACGGCCAGTTTTGGCAACGTCGCAGTGTGTTCTACGGCTTGTCTAAATATTTAGTTCCCCTCCTCCCGACGGCGAATTTGTCTTATCAACTGTGAAATAATTCTGCGGTTCGGAGTTATCCGCCGCGATGGAACAGTGATGCTGGATGATCTTTGCCCGTTCCGGGAAAGGCAGAAAAAAGTATCGCGGGGAGGGGTGGGGGCGGGGGAGGAGAGGGTAGGGAAAAAACGGTCGGCTTGAGTTGCCTCGGCTCTCCGCTTCGTGGCCCCCATCGCATCGGAACGGAATTCATTAAGGAACTCTCCGCGTTTTATTTATTTAGTTCGCCTGCCGAAGAAATGAATCTAATATTTTAATAAACGCAGCGCCGGTTGTATCTCTCTCGGCCGGAGCCAGGAAAACGAATCTAATTTTTTAATAAACGGATGCGCTGCGGGCTCCGGTAGTTGGAGACTCGGTGATTTCTGAAGTCGGCGAGAGGTGGATCCGGCCGTCTCGAGTACGGCCATCGCCCCACAGGTTTTTGGCGCCAAAAATTCCAGTTTCAAAGTTTCTCCCGCCCTCTACACTTCTTCCTTTTTACCGGCAGTGCGGGAGAGGGCGATCCCTTGGTTTACCCCACATCTAGACTCGCGAATGCCTCTTAAAAAGACAGTAAACCCGCAAAAATTCCTAGTTCCGCCCATTGTACCTATCTATCATACTGTGTTTATTATCATGCTTTAGGTATAACGGGTCAGTTACTCTAATCATAGGTTTGCGTTATGATAATTGGACCACATTTTGCAATAAGGGACCACTATTTCTGGCTCATGTTGGAAAGAGCATATGAGCCGCTGGTTTTCCTATGCAGGAAAGTGCTTTTAGGGAAGAGCTGGAGATAGTGGTTCCTTATTGCAAAGTGTAATCTAATTTAAACGTACAGAGTATCAACTATTAATACGATTTGTCCAAATGTCTAATTTCTACGTCCAATATTAACAGAGATATGACTCATTGAAAAACGCAGCGTATGATATAATCCACCGCGGTAGTGCATCCTGTGATTTCTTCATTCGTGTACTACTAGGATGAGTAACCACATTCAAATGTTCACGCGTATCGCATAGTACTGATGGATGAAATCAAAGTGGAAGAAATCATGATATGCACCATCGGAATGGATGACGCAATACATCGTGTGCTGCGATAAGCGATATCTCCGCCAATACTGGGCGCTAACTAAGTCCGAACAAATCCCATCTGTAAGCTGTAACCACCAAAACACGATTCTGTAACCAGCGTAACTTACCCACTAAGTTCCACAATGCATATTTTTACTAAGAGGCGTCCTCAAGGTGAAGACTTCAAGCGCGGGTGCAAAGTTAATCTCCGGACTAAGAAACTCATCCTATAATACTTAAATGAGTGAAAAGTATCGAAGTCTTTTTGTTATGAGACTGTCTCTTCGACTACGATGAGTTTCTGCGTTCAGGCCGAAGAATGGCATTGATGTGGATGGGCGAATTTTTCCAGTCGATGAAGCCCCAGTGCTCTTGGCTTGGGGCCGTCAACCCTGAAGGGCAGGAGAGGGGGGGGGAGTTGAGACCAGGCCCATTACGCAGATCTAACCACCGTCTGTCCTTGGCCGTGGTCGGTCGTGCTTCGCGGCTTGATGGGTCTTCCTTCAGCTGTTCAGTGTCTCTGCTGCACTTCATACGCACCACTAGCCAAACTTATTCTCCTTAGAGGAAAAGAAAAAAAAAATATCGTTAGTTTTTAAGGAATATTCAGGGTTGCCACAGTCAGGGAAAAACCCGCGAAATGTCAGGGAAAATGAAGAAATTGTCAGGGAAAAATTATCAAGACACTTTTATTTTCTTTTGAGAATGAGTTCGACATTTCGAATGACAAATTTTGCCTGAAAACTATTCCTAATTATGTATTTTTACCATCTGGCGTATCTTCGATTGTCAGGGAATTTCACCGAAATGTGTCAGGGAAATGTCAGGAAATTTCATTTTCGAAATTCTGTGGCAACCCTGAATAATGGCCCTCCTCGGTGAAAGAGAGCCGCAGTTTCCAATAATTTTAAGATGTTCCGTGACAAAATCAGCATTCATCCTCTGCTACGTGCAGCGTCCTGACAGTGAGAAAAAGAAACCGACATTTTGGGTTAAAGTACGCAGTCTAAGAGTCGGAAACACACCAAAATAGGTCATTTTTTCGAGTAAAATTGACTTCTCCGGAAAATTGGAGGGTGGGAAAAAACGGAGGTTATATCCTCGGATCCAGCGCCTCAAAATTCTGGAGGATCATCTTATCTCAACCGGGAGACTTTTTTTGTCGAGCAGTGTTTCCGGCTGACGATTTCTTAGCTGGAAAACGCAAATGTCGACTTGATGAATGAGCTAAATAACTGATTTTTTGTGATTTTTTTCTCTGTTGCAGTGGTTGGAGGAGTCGTTCACGCGGTTCGAGCAGGGGATCAACTGGCGGGCGTACACGGTGTGCGACGTGGCGCACAACAACGTCAACAACTGGTTGTGGACGCCGTTCGTGGAGCGCGGGAACGCGAATCGCATCTACATCGAGATCAAATTCACCATCCGGGAGTGCGATCTCTTCCCCGGCAACGCGTTGTCCTGCAAGGAGACCTTCTCGCTCCTCTACTACGAGTTCGATGTCGCCAACAAGGACCCGCCACCCTGGGAGCCCGATAGCTACAAACTAATCGGTCAGTATCAAGTCTTTGGATGCACTTGATAAGGGTGCAAGGAGAAAAGTTCGGTTCAGTTTGAAAACCGAAGTTTTCCGGTTCCGCTCTTCTGGTAACCGAAGTTTTCGATCATAAGAATCCAACTTTGATCCGGCCAACCGGTTCTCATGCGAAAAATCCGGTTATCTGACCCTAAAAAGTTCGGTGTTCAATAAAAAACGAATATCAGTACTCGGTAGTTGTAACCGAAATTTTTTCCAGTGAAGAGCAAATAATTGGAGGAGTATAGACTGTGGGAAGTCTGGGGGTCCATTTCTGGCTAGCCAGGCATGAACATTTGCTCTAAAAATGGTCTGATTTTGCAATAAGGAATTACAACTTCTGACTCAAAGATAAGAGCACCTACCTTCATAGGGGATCCAACGAAAGATATATATGCCGTCTCTAAAATAAGCCAGAACTTTTATTCCCTAATTGCAAAATGTAGTCCAAATCATGCTCAGCATATGTTGATATCAAGACTGAAGCACAATAGATGCTCTCATCGCACGCATGTATACAACTATTCATGTCTTTGTAGCATAAATGAAGAATGAAAAGCGTTTTGTCGTTTTGGATCCTCGCGGTGAGGCCTACTGTTGCCGTTGGCGCTGTGGATGCGGGTGAAGAAGTGAGTGCACGAAGAGTCAAAACGCCTTCACTCCCGTGTAGATGCAACACGGTCATCCATGGAGCGCGAATAGTTGCATCCAGGCGTTGTGATGAAATTCGTCCAGTGCTCATTCCATCCGCACCAACCAATGGCACTTACCTTGCGATTTTTATGTATTCTGTAGGTAATTTGTCAGTCACTGATTTAACTGTGATCTGATCCTGATAAATTGATTTTTGATTTTTGTTTCAGGTCGGATTGCTGCTGGGGAAGGTCGCTTCAAAATTAACACAGACGTGACCATCAACACCGAAGTCAAGTCGATCCCAGTTACCAAGAAAGGTGTATTTTTCGCCTTCAGGGACCAAGGGGCTTGCATCTCCCTACTAGCAATCAAGGTAAAGCCACATCCACTGTTTTCCCATTTATTTCATACGTTCAGTATCAGTTCCATAAAAAAAGAGCGAAAATTATTCTTCAAAACTCATTTTACAGTAAACAATTCTTACCGAGTACGAAAAATTAGCCTTCTCTCTTCTTCGTCACAAGCTAAATATCATTGCACGAACAGCTATGTTTTCACACTTGTAATATCCCGGTATCGTACCGCAAAAATCGTCTTGAAGTCAAAGTTAGGATTTTGAATTGCTTCATTCAGACACAGCCTCTCAGATGGTTCTCAAAGCAGAGGCTACCTGCCTTTCTGCTTCAGGAACATTCCCTTTCCAACACAATCGATATCGAAGTGCAACACTAACCTTTTCCTTCCATCAATCTTCTTTGCTTTTATGCTGCCATGCTAAGGGAGAACGCCGTATAAACATTCGAGAGTTGCCAAGTTTCCTTCGATAAAATTTTTATTTTTAGGAAAGTTTTGAACATTTTCCCTCGAAATTTCCAGGGATTTTCGGTGAAATTGTGAACAAAATAATCCTAAAAATTGAAAAGAAATATTCATAAGTTTACCAGGAAATTCGTGTTTTACCGAAGGACATTTGGCAACACCTGAAGGTTCATACGCCGTTTATCCTCAGCACGGCAGCATGAGGTCGTCTAAAGTGTTTTCTCCTATTTTGGAGGCTATCGATACGGTATTCGATCAATATGTTCCCTCTGTGCCCGGAACGGTGATTCTAATCTGGGCTTTGGATGTGTTTCAGATCTACTATATCATGTGTCCGGAGGTGACGATCAACTTCGCGCATTTCAACGCGACGCCGACGGGGCGAGAAGTGACGCTGATCGAGCAATCCACCGGTCGCTGCGTGGACAACGCCGAAGTGGTGGATGGGAGCCCGACCTACCTGTGCAAAGGCGACGGGAAGTGGTACCTCCCCACCGGTGGCTGTAAGTGCAAGCCTGGCTTCGAACCCGACCACGCCAAACAGACCTGCAACGGTAAGTCTCATCCAAATCCATTTTAATTTCCATCGGTAAGCTCCATCATATTCCAAAATGATACGTGAAGATAGCGGAAGTGCGGAGCTACGAATCTCCATTTTGGTGTTTTAAAATTTCCGCTCCTAGTAGCTTATTTTTCGAAGAAAAATAAACTACTAGGAGCGGTACCGCACACGGAGTGTCACGGTACCACGTTAAAGCGGAAAGTCAAAGCGCCATCGCTCGATGAGCAAACTCAACTGGGATCGGTGGTTCAACCCGAAAAGGAACTTGACTGGGAGGAAATTCCGAGTGGAGTTATGCTGGAGCAAGTTCATGTTGATGGTTAGTCGTGGTCGGAAAATACATTTTCCCGCGGCGACATTATCCAGGGTAGCCGCGCGTGAAGATTGGAAACGCCAAGACAGACATCATTACGAATAATTATCCGGGGAGATCAAACTCCTCCAAGTCACTCCGTTGCCAATTTCCCGTCCCTTCCCGACTTTTCTCGTCGAGTAGGCGTCAGAGGGGGCAGAGTGACAGTTCTCCAACAGTCGCTGAAAACCTTGAAAAATTAGTTATTTTACCCGACTTAATCCTAAAACGTCGGGAAATTTTGCTGCAGAACCTTGAAATTATTCCCTCAGGCCGAAAAATGTCATCGTCTTCCGTTCCGTAGACTTTACGCAAAACAATTTTGCGAGGAGCATATTTTCATAAGTATGAATGGACTGCATTTTGCAATTTGAAACTACAAATTCTGTCTCCTCTCGAAAAGCACTTATGTGCAAAGGGAAACTAATGGCACATGCGATGTTTTTAAACCGAGCTAGAATTTATAGTTCCAAATTGCAAAATATAGTCCAAATAAGACTCACTCTCTTGTAAAAATAAGGAGCTACTATTTCAGAGCTCAGCCATAGAATCACCTATCTGCACACGGAATCTTCAAGCACCCCTGATGCCTCTAAAATGAGCCAAGATTCGTAGTTCCTCGTCGCAAAATGTGGTTCAATTCGTCGTTGCTCGGACGAAGGAACATAACTCCGTTCCAAGGCTGCAAAATTGGCTCAAGCAATTCGAAATTTTATAAGAATATGATGGTGCAATTTTTTTCAAAATGTTGCCAATTTTTGCGAAAAAATAGTGAAATTCCCAGTTGAAAATGCCTGCGAATCTCCTCATAAAAAAAGCAATTCGCGAGGGCAAATTCGGCAACATTGAAATGTAGTTACGTTCTTTGGCGAGGAAAACGACGAATTGAACGTATTTCTATCAAACGGTCCTACATGCATTATGACGTGAGCCCTGTTATGCGTGTATTCTTATGGGTCTCAGGGCTCATGTCTTAATGCACATAGTTCCGTTTGATAGAAATACGTCCAATTGGCGATAGATGGCGCGCCCGAGTCGGCATCAGGGGCGCGAGGCGAAAGACAAAGACAGCCAAGACGGGCGTGTTTATTTTTACAAGCTCAACAAGAAGCAATCACCGAGTCAATTAGGACGGGATGTTCCAGGGTTGCACAGAGCGGGAAAAAAGACGCCGGAGCAAGGAAAACAATGATCGCGCCTCAGTCGCTCAGTGTCAACAGGGAACGAGACGACGAGATAACGGCCGGGGGTGCGGGAGGCCCTCATCAAAGGGGGAAGCGGGAAGATGGATGAGTTTCATTAGTGCGAGAATCTGCGGCCCCGACCCCGATGGGGGGGGGGGGGGGAGGGCACGTGGGGGTGGCGTTATTGGGGGCCGAGCGCGAATCGCCCCCAGGATCCAGCCGGCCCGGAGCCCCACTCGGTGATCGATTATTTGCCCCGGTGTCGATGAAGTCATCCGATGCTCCTCCCGGCGCCGGAAATCGGAATGAGTTAGTTTCCACTGACTCTCGTGCAGCTTAAGCCGGAAAACTCGGTGAAAAATCTCCTGCCGGTCGGCAAGCATAAGAGGACAACATTTTGCAATAAGGAACAACTATCTCTGGCTCTCCCATAAAAGCACACATATCGTAGGGAAACCAATGGCATGTATGTTGTTTCTAAAACGGACTAGAAATAGTGGTTCCTTATTGCAAAATGTAATCCAAGAAATCCTTGAACTAGGGGCGTTCGGAGGGTTATATTCAAGCAGAAGAAAACGGTACGAAATTAATCAATAAAGTAATTTTCCTGCTTTTCGCATTGGGACTACATTTTGCTATAAGGAACCATAAATCCAGACTCATTTTAGAAACAACGTATGTATCGTTTCCCCATGCAGATAGGTTCCTTTATGGATGAGCTAGATTTTGTAGCTCTCTATTGCAATATGTAGTCCACTCTGCAACAACAAGCCACTTTTGGCTCATTTCAGATCTTAATATGTGTGATTGGTTTCCTGATGGAGATAAGTGATTATATGGATGAGACAGAATTAGTCTATCATGTGCCATTATTTTCCATGTGCAGCTAGAGGATTCAACGAATGAGCCAAAAATGGTGGCATCTTATTGCAAAAAGAAGTCTTTCTGAAACGGGATTTTGGTTTTGAAGCAGGTTGTTAGTAAAAGTTCTCTTCCGTCAAATAATTAGTCAAACAATCTTATGCCAGAAAATTATTGTCATCACGAAGATTCAATTGCACATGAACGTGTCTTGCATGAGGTTAGCGCAACATTAAAAAAATCACTAATTTTCAAGCAAAAAATTTCCATCATCCTCGTAAACTATCAAGAAAAATCAGGAAGGAATATTTTTTTTGGCAAGGGTGTGAATGGAAAATGAATCAACGCATTTCTCACAAAAATTTCAGGAATTAAGGACTTCTTTTCAATTCTGGAGTGATGACTCAGAAACCTTAAAAAAGGAAGGTGAACTTACCAAATGATTATGGCCATTTCAATGATTAATGCCGTTGTCATCATCATCAGATCAAATTAAAATGTAAAATAGGGGTAAAAAAAACCAATCTACGGTGGTGTTGTGCATGCATCATGATATACAAGAATCCGAATGCAACTTAATCTTTGAGTGACTTTACTCAGAACAAACACGTTTTTTTTAAACGGAGTCATTAGTTATTCCTTTTTTTCCCCTTCCCGTGTTCCCATAATTCTTTCCACCACTCTTCCTTTTTTCCAAGAATATCAGAGGAAAATGTTGGAAATCTCGAAGAAACATTGGGGAATTTTCTAATTGTTTCTCGTAGCTGTTCAGGAATTCGCAAATGGGTGGCCCGAATCTCGGAGCATCGAAATGGCTTCCGAGGGTGCTCAAAAAGCGGAGCACTAACTTCGGTACTTTGACAGCTTAAGCTCTAAATTAAAGCTCAGGCTTTATTAGCGTACTCACGCACGTAAATTAACACGCGGAAGCTCGCTAAGCTCAAGGAAAAACGAAACCGCTGACTCAGGGCTCAAACGGAGGCATGAGCTTCAACCGGCTCCGGGTCACGCCGGAGGAGTTTTCACATCCATTCCCTTATTTCCCTTTCGCAACGAACCCGCTTTTCTCCTGCACGACACTTTATCACAGGACAAACAGGGTAACAGGGTTATCGCGCATGTGGAAATCTGGGAAAGCTTAACGAGAGAAGGGGTTTCAGGGTGGCTGTAAAAACCGAAAACAGAACAGATCAAACAGATCGACGCACGAGTCGTTTTGACAAGCGTGTCCAACACGCTTGTTCAGGAAGTATAACAAAGAACATCGGAAAACCCGGAAAATATCTGAAAATCTGATATCGCCAGGAAAATTCATCATGGTTCAGGAAATCTCGAGTGCATCAAGCATTTTTCAACTACATTTGGTTTGTAAAATCAAACAAGTGTCGATTTGACTACATTTTGCAATGAGGAACTACGATTTCTGACCCAGTTTCGAAACAACGTATATAACATTATTAGTTTCCCTACGCACATACGTGTCTTTTACGGATGAGCTAGAAAATGCAGTTTCTGAAATTGCAAAATGTAGTCCAATTTATTCGCGCAAAATATCAGGTAATTTCATTTCTCATACCACAGAATGTCAGGAAAATACCAGAAAAATCCACTATCAAATTAAAGTAGAAACCCTTTGAATTGAAAAACGATCTATGATCGAAGCTTCCGTGTAACTTTTCAACTTGTAAGCGTCTTTTCCTCAATTACGTCACCTGAATTCCTCGTTTTCATATCCCTTCAAGTTGAAGGGTCCCTCAGCACTGCATCTCTGAGCGAAAACGGAGTTGTACTCGCGCAAAATATCAGGTAATTTCATTTATCATACCAGAAAATGTCAGGAAAATACCAGAAAAATCCGCAATTAAATTTAAGTAGAAACCCTTCGAATTGAAAAACGACCTGTGATCGAAGCTTCCGTGTAACTTTTCAACTTGTAAGCGTTTTTTTCTCAATTACGTTAGAGTCCCTTTATACTGAGAGTCAAGACAACACCCCCTCATGGAGTCACAAACGGGAATAAAGATTACAGAAATTGAACGTTTTTTGTAATCTTTGATCGGCCCATTCTCAAATTCCTTTCTCCGTTCCTTCTCTCATTCCGTTTGTTCCTTGCCAAACCCGTAATTCCTTGGTCCATTCCAGAATATAATCTTTGCAATCGGTGAAAATGTAATCTTAATTCCCGTCTGTGACACAGTGAAGGCCTAAAATACGGGAACCAATCAGAAATGGATTCACATTGTCTTGACTCTCAGTATAAAGGGACTCTAAATTACGTCACCTGAATTCCTCGTTTTCATATCCCTTCAAGTTGAAGGGTCCCCCAGCCCTGGATCTCCGAGCGAAAACGGAGTTGTACAAGATGACGCCTCGTCCCTGCGGACTTGGCAACGCGATACTCGCGAGTTTTTTCGCGGGACCCTTCCGCCCTGGCGGGCTGTTTATTACTCGTCCCTCCCGCCAAGGCGAAGGGAGCGGGAGCCTGAGCCGGCGATCCCTGGATCCCTGACACGTTTAACTTTTTAACGGCGATAAATCAAGGCGGCCGCGGAAAAAATTACGATCGCCCTCGCGGCCCTTCGCCCCTGCGGCCCC